AAATAAATAAATAAATAAATAAATAAAATAAAGAGAGGGAGGGGGAAGCACATTCAGACTTGCAAGATTCTGTCACTATAGCTGTTGCAAATAAAGTAGTCCTGATCTACACGGCATGGGTTTCTTAGTCTGGTCTACCTTGTAGGGCTAACACATACCTTCTTTGGACCCAAGAAAGAAAAAGCTTGTCCTTAATTTACACCCAGTTGAAAGTAAAGTCTTTCCCTGCCCCAGAAGGCTGCAGAAGAATCGCTCCTTTCTCCATGAGTTGAGGAGGGGAGGGATTGCATTTGAGTGATTTGCAGATTTAGCCTCCCCACCCTCTCACGCCATGCAGATGTTAGTGAGCAGGAATCACTGAAAAAAGTTGGAACTCAAGTCTTCCTTGTGGCAAGCCATCTTTTGATATTACCTCTGAGTTGTTCTTAAACTAAAACGGTGGTTTCTTATCTTCTGGCATCTCTGCTGCTAAATTTAAGATGCATTTTGCTCTAATAGTAATACATTAAATTGACCGTGCTGCTGAAGCGTATTCTACCTCTGTAGGGTCACCAACCTTTTGTTTTAGGGGGCATTTTTAAAAGCATTCAATTTGTTTCTTAGGAAGGAAATAGAGAAGGTTAAACAAATGGCTTGCAGTTGCTTTCTTCTTGGAAGTTTTTTTTTCACCTTTTGCAACCTATCCTTCGCCCCTGCCAATTTATCCTGATGGTCTCTTGGCCAAGTTCTCACTAAGGCTGTCCCTTCTTATCTGCCTTGATCACCCAGGCATTCAGCGAAGCCATTATGTTCATTCATGTATACCCCAGGGTGGAAAGTAGAAGAAATCTAATGGGAAAAGCAGAAGGAAGTTAACATATTTTTCTTTCCTTCCCTGCTAAGGAGACGGGAGCAGAGAGAGGAGAACACGAAGGAGAAAGATACTTGGTTGTCTCCCAAAACACAAAACAGCCCCAGTTTAGAGATATACAATGTAATTAAAAAACAGGGTGAGGCCGATCTTGCTGGAACCAGGCCACAAATCCAAAACTCATCTTTCCGTGTCCGTCCTGGAGGAGATGACCTTTGTGGAGACTATGACAATATGGCAGTCAACAGCTCAGAGAGTGGCTTTGTGACCTTGGCAAGCACTGAAAGTGGATTTGTCACGAATGACATATATGAACTGTGCAATGACAGAGTGGGACAAAGCAAAGAGTCAGCCTGGGTAGAAAATGAAATCTACGGATATTAAAGGCCAGGAGATGAGAGACTGAGCAAAGTGGGAAATGTTCTTATTTATACAAACTTTAGCACACAGAGACATGGTTCTTGAACGCAGAGGGATTTCCTTCTCCTCCCTGAAAGGGGAACATGGATTTAAACATGTTGATTGATTGATTGATTGATTGATTGATTGATTGATTGATTGATTGATTGATTGATTGATTGATTGATTGATTGATTGATTGATTGATTGATTGATTGATTGATTGATTGATTGATTGATTGATTGATTGATTGATTGATTGATTGATTGATTGATTGATTGATTGATTGATTGATTGATTGATTGATTACATGCCATCAAGTTGCTTTTGACTCCTAGAGACCACATAGATAGACTTTCTCCATGATAATCTCTCCCTAACCTGGTCCTTCAGGTCTTCCAAGGGTGCTCCGTCACCTGTGTAACTGAGTCCATCCCCCTTGCTGCTGGTCGTCCTCTTCTTCTCTTTCCTTCCACCTTGAAACATATAGCAGAGATCTTATTGGCCAAGGAAACAGACTTGGGAGAATTTGGTTCCATTCCTTGTTACAGCATATTCCCTCCTAATTATCTATAACTTGACAATATTTTTTGCATTATAATAAGCACTAAAACTAATTGCTAACGTCCAGATGGAATTTGTGAGGTACTGCTAAAAATACCCCAGGTTGTGTTCATCACCACCTGGCTTTTATCGGCTGCCGAGTTTCCATCTTTACCTGTTTTGCAATCCTGAGAGTCAAAATTTTGCAGAAAGGAGGGGTCTGTTTCTGCTCTTCTTATCCTCCAAGCGGCATTTTGCGACAAGTATTTAAGCATTCTTATATACTAGCCTTGAGGCATGACTTGGAAATAAATGCCACAAAAACTAATGAAACGCAACCCTTCCAGCAAAGATTCTAAACTATTAATGCCACTTTATCTTATCGTAGGAATTTGTATAACCCATTCCCTTGAAAAAATACTGCTGCGTCTGGGGAGAATCCTGGTCAAAACGACATTTTTAGTGGCCTTAGAGGCAGCCATTCTGTTTTGGGTGTTGTTTGCCTACCTTGATCAAAAACTTGAATATTGACCACTTTATTTTGGAGGGATCAGGTGACAGACACCATCCCATATTGATTAGTTGATGTGCTGCAAATAAGTACTGTGAAGATAAGCATTGCAGTATTCCTAGACGTCCTGAACCAAGACATCCTCAATGTGCCATGCGCTGTGGGAGAAATCATGCTGATGTAAATGTATAATCTTAGAGTAGTTTCCCCACTGTGATTTCTCCATAAGTTGGACTGCATCTCTCAGAAATTCCAGCCAACGTGACCAGTGGTGTTTATGCATCTGAAGAGCAAGAAGCTTGGATGGGTTATTTAATGGCAGACTAGATCTGACAGACCTGCAGACCTAGAATCAAAGGTTTTAGTTTTCTTTCTTTTTTATCAGTAGAGCTGATAGAAGAAAGCAGATCAGTCTGTGGAAATGGAGAGGAAAGATTTAATCTTTCTTCCTGTGCTGTTTTTTTGATCCAACAGCTTTCCTGCAGCAGAATAAAGATTCCCATTGTGAAGCTAAAAGAAGACAAAGTGAGACTTCCTAAGTAGGGAAATCAGAATATTCTGGTGTGCATTTAGCCTCTTGTTGGTGTTTTTTGTTCTGTGGGTGCTTTTACAGTACAGTTTATAAAAGACTTGTAAGAAACTTTGAAGAGTCTAGCAACGACCGAAATGCAAGTGGTACTGTTGATTAAAAGAAGGATGTCCAAAACCTTCAAAAGCAACCCAAATCATGAGTTTCTCCTGCCAGCAAGTGTTCTTAAGCAGAAGGATCAGATGACAAGGGAAAGGATATTGTTTAACTACAATATCTTCTGAATTGGTACATACATTTCTGTTTTGGTGCAAGTGACAAAAACTCCTCCATTGTTGAGACAGGCCTGTTTCTTGGAGGCCGTATACAAGATGGAGTAAAGTTGGTGCAAGTTTCAAAAATGAAGTCGCCCAAGATTGTTCCCTTCATGTATCAGATGTTTTCTGTCCCAGATGATATTTGACAAACTTGGGATATTTGACTCTAAGCAACATACAATTTCTGATTCTGCAACTACGTCCAAATTTGTCTTGTCGAATTCCATACTATCGTTTTTAGAAATAATTAAGAGCAAACAACCAGTGCTTTATTTGAGGTCATGTGCAAATTTTGGCACCCCGATGCCTGTGCTTTTCAACCTGAATGTCGGCTCCCTTTTTGGCAGTTCCAGCAGAGAAGCAGTAAGTTGAGATAAGATAGAAATATTTCTGTGCCTTGCTTTGTTATTTGACATGTGACAGATGAAAGACGAAAAAGAAAACTTCTTTTAATTGCAACAAGCTGGTGTGATGTTCTGTGCATGTGCTACTATACAGTGCTTCAGAAGCTTTTAATATATGAGCGTGATGTCATCTGCATTGTAATCTACTGAGGGATTTTATTCTGGTGCTGAATGTATGAAGCCTGTGGCAACGGCGGTTGAGTTGCCGTGATGTTGTGGAATGCCTGTGAGTCTTAGAACCTCTGAAAGAAGAGAAGTCTCTGTGATCACACTTGCCAGTTTGACGAGGACTTTTCCCTGCCCTTCTAAGTGGGAGCAGCAAATAGGCAAACCTGAACTCAGACAGAGACCTGGGGGAAATCCAAAAGCTGCACAAAGGAGAAAACCCAAGCAGCAGCAGCAGCAGCTCTGGTAATTCCTGACGGGACAGTGATGCTCAGTGAGATTCAGGATCACTGAAGCGACGAAGACCTGGGGTCGGGGCATGATTCCCAAACACCGTATGACTGGCAAGCATGTAATTGCTCCCACGCGTCCCTTTGCTGAAGAAGCAAAGAGGTGTCCCAGTCATGAGAATCGCCAAAGAATTACAATCAGGCCAAAGGAGGCGAGGCATAGCTGTGGTTGGTTAATGCCCGTGGTGTGTTGAGTGGGTCTGAAGAGCCTTACGCATATTCTCACTTCATGACTGGCAGACACTCCAACATCTGTGGCTAGAGAGTCCTGAAAAAGCCACAAACCTGCACATTTTTAAAATTCTTGTGTTCCCCTGCACGTTGGTATTGCATTACTGCCATGTTTCTCTTATGCATGTCTGAATGAAATGTTGTGACTCTTGAGCAAAAAAATAAACACATCTGGCTGGAGAGCAACCACAGATTAAGATTTTAGGGCTCTTTTTTGTACTGTGTCATTCTCAGTGGACTGTCCTGAACTTCTCTTAAGTAGCACCTTCAGCAGAATATGTGACCTTCCTCCACTGAGGAACATTGTCTTGTAGTGGCTCAGATCCACATGTTGGAGGCTGCAGCAAGCATGTCTGGATTAATCCTGTGTTAGCCAAAAGCAAAGGTATTCAAGATTCCCATCAGCAATCGCTGGAGTGATAATGAACAATAGAAGACTAATTATGGTAGAGAAATATTAACTAATCACAAGTTACTTCTTGGCAGTTATCAGTCTTCCTAGTATTTTGCTATGACATGTATTTCATTCAGTTAAATGCACTTGTAATTTTGTTGCTTGGTGTTTTTTTGTAAAGGTATTCATTTTCATCAGTATTTGCTTGATGGAAAATGCTCATTTGTGGAATTTGGGCTTAAAAGAAGTTTCCTATATTATAGGAAGTCTCTTCATCAAACAAGGCAGCTAGAGAGACTATGGAAAATGTACAGTGCAGAATGTGAGATTATACAGATTTATCTTTTGATATTGGCCATGTTAATAATGCCAGAGCTTACTAAACCAAAATCTCTGCAAGAATGCAAAGTATACAGATGGATTTTCAAAACTGGCTTTAAACATCTATCCATCCAGTTCCATGTTTGATACAGATTGCTACCATTTGCAAGTCAGTTCACTGCGGAGAGTCAAGTAAATTGTATCTCTGTCTGGAATCTTTGCACCACCCAAGAAGCAATCGTGTTATGGGTGTGAACCATAAAAATGCAGGCCGCTGACGAGGCTGCTTTGCCAATAGAAATACTTAACCCGGTCAGTTTTCTGCCACCGACTGCTATCCCGTGCAGCGGTTGCAGTCTTGTTCAGATGCCACTTTTGTGCATCCGTTGGCCAGCATCATCTGTGACAGTTTCTCCTGGCAAGTAGCTACCTTGGGAAATGCCCACTGATCTGCTAAGTGCAAAGTGTTCTGGTTACAGTATGTGAGGGAGATGGGATTGGGAGCCAGAGAAAGGACTACAAGCCGGCTTAACTTTGGTTGCCAGACTGCCGTGACACTGGAGCCACGGGAGCCAGCTGAACGATCGTCCCGTCTTCCCATCTTTATTCGTGGTATATTTTGCGAAGCAGTTGGATGGGTGCCGGTCGTTGTCATTGTTGCTCATTCTCACCAGCTTTTCTTTCTTAGCCAGTCCAGAATCATCTGTTCTTGATTTAGGAGAAAGAGGAAATGAGCTGTGCTTGGAAAATGCCTGGCTCCAACCTTTTCACATCTTATAAATCATTGTCAGAGTGGGATGGCCAGAGTTTTGGAAGCTGCTGCTGCTGCTGCTGCTGCTGCTGCTGACTGGTGGTCCATACGATGATCGAGTCAGCCGTTTCACACAGCCGTTTTATGTTGTGATCAGGTGTGAGCAGCAGCAAAGCAAGGGCATGAAACAATAAAAAAAAAGGCTGAAGTGGGGTGACAATATGAACTGGAAATTAAGAGGATTTCCACGATTGAAACAAAACAAAAGGATGGTAATGCAGGAGCCAGGAACAGGGCATACTTGCAAATTCAGTATCACCTCTTGCAGTACGTATTTTCTCTTTGGAGAGCAGTTGTTGGGTGACACCAGAGCACTGTGTCCTTATGTTAAAACAGGGTGTTGATGTTTATTTTGTTTGTTTTTTGGGGTTGTGTATGAGTAAGTTAGGCTGAAATTTCTCGGAAAATAACGTTCATAAATTCTCCAAGACTTTCCCTTTGTTGAGTTCTCTCTGAACTGTTGAAGAATGTTACATTTATGGAGGGTAAAAATAGGACATTCTTGAGAGGTCATTTTTGCAAAGCCCTAAAAAGTTCTGGAAAAGAAACATGTATCACTAGAGGGCGCCTTTATTTCATGTGTAATAGAGTCACAACCTGCATTTCCTAAATAGATGGCAGAGTTTTGTTTGAA